GAGATCAATTAGAAAAGACCCAACTCAATCCATAAGACGTTTGTCACGTGAGAAAGGAGTGTCAGTCATGACAGTCCAAACAGCAATGAAAAAATACTTGAAAATGAAATCGTCCGTGAAAACTGTGAGGCATCTTGTTACTCGAAGACAGAAAGTTAGAAGGTTAGAGAGGGCGAAGATCATCTTAAATAAGTTAGAAAATGATCCTGAAATATTATATATATATATATATATATATATATATATATATGGACTCTATTTCAGTCCTTCATGAGCTTCCGATCCTTAGTGATGATTAATTAATGATGAACATGTCATTTTTGTTTATGATCGATTTCATCACGATTCTTCTGTTAAGCTTGGAGAGTAATTATGCATTCTAATTGGTCAATGTAGAGTTCAATAGTGTTATAAAAACCTCGGAGAATTCCCGTAAGATATCTTTAATCATTTCTAAGATACCTCGGTTCAAAGCTTAATGTAACAATTGGGCAATTTTGCTGTTACACACCGTAATCTTGTATTCCTTCTGGGATCACTTTGTGACATTCGTTAAATATGTGATTCATTATCTTATCTTTAGTTCAACACCGTCTGCATTTTCTTTTTTTTTCTTTATCTACTTGCATATATATAGATTACTAGCAGTAGAGCCCGGCGTTGCCCGGGGATATAACAGTAAGAGATAGATCAAGTATCGACCATCATAAAGGCTGAAAAATAAAATTGACAAAGATTATTGTTTAAGGTTGACGGACACACATGTCTTAATTAGTTTTTTTTTTCTACAAATTGGTCAAACCCAAACTCAAACAAAAACATTGTTTTCAATTGTTATGAGTCTACCAATTGAATAGAATTTTATTATAAACAATTGTCTTGTAAATGGAATTTTAAAGCATTCTGAATGTAAAAATAAAGAAAAAAAGTGTGCAAGACAATAAAAACACTACCTACCAAAAAAAGTAAAGTTTTGTTGAAATCGGTTGAAAAATGTAGGAAATCCGATCCCATATATAAACGAACACACACACACACACACACACACACACACACACACACACACACACACACACACACACACAACCAACCTGGGTTTTATAATAAGTATAACTCGATAACTCGATATTAATAAGTACAACTCGATATGAGTTGTCCCCCTTTCATTACTGCCTCTTCATCGTGTTTTCAAATTGATTTCGTGCAAAAACAATTGTGTTTTTCCAATTTTGTGCGCTGTCAGAACCACCGCAAGCTAATTTTACGTAGTCCTGTGAATTTTTGTTGAAATCGGTTGAAAAATGTAGGAAATCCGATCCAATATATAAACGTACAGATACACACACACACACACACACACACACACACACACACACACACACACACACACACACACACAAAACCTGGGTTTTATAATAAGTAAGATTTAGATGTTGTTTTGAACCGCTATTAAAAATGACCTCTTCTGGTTCTCTCTGCTCAGTTATTGTTAGTCAGTGATATTTTCTATTTGTTTTTTGTTTTTTTAAAATCTTTGTACAGTTTTTTTTTCCTTTTCCATTATTCTTCCTTGTTGCATTCTTCATTCTTTTCTCGTTTGCACATTTTCTTTAATTTCTTATGGTAATGTTGAGAGCATTTTATACTATTATTATTATTATTTCATGCATTTGCTTTTTTAAGTGCCTACGCTCGCAAAGACCAACCATCTTTCAAACTTGTAAACTGTCGCTACAGAATCACAAACAAACGCCGCATCAACTAACAAAAACCACATCACTTGAGGCCTTTCAACAGCAGCAACAACTAAAATGGATAGCACATGTTATTCGAAGAGAAAATAATGGCATAATAAAGATGGTAACATTTCACACTATTTCAAATAAAATGTTAGGAAGGAAACCCCATCGGTACTGGAAAGATCAATAACAGCTACTGGCTTTGAAAAAAACTATTTTCCTGAAAAAATATTTTAAGAAAAAGATATTATAAATTTCGACTGAAAATAGTACTGCCTGCTCGGTCAATAAATGCTGAATATTTCCTTGTAGGGAAACAGCTAATATTACGATTGCCATTACCATCTAGTGCTTATCTCTCGAATCTGTTCGTATAATGAGAAAAGAGTTGAGGATAAAAGAGAAAATGTGTTTATTAAGCCCATAGAGGTTTTTATTTTTTTTATTTTTTACACCGGCAAAGTTAATAGTACGAAATAAATTTGACTCTCACAGGGAGCCTATTCTTTATTTCAGGTTGGCGATGTCCAATTGACTGCCGTAGATTGACGTAAAGATTGGGTAAAGCTGTGATAAAAACGACCCTCAGAATTGTGTTGAAAGTAAATACGAGTCCAAAATGAAAAGTTTTAGGTGGAGTCTGGCTTGGAATCAAAAGATAACCTGATTATTTTGTGTAACTCTAAATCAGCTTCAGTTGATCTGAAATACGAAAAAGAGACGTTTATACTGTAAACATGGCAGTAAATGTTGGACAATCTCCTCATATATGAAGAACAAACAAGAGGCAACAGAAATGCGGTTCTACAGAAGGGATGCTGAGAATCCCATTGGACTGAATATGTGAGTAACGATGGCGTTTTAAGGAAAATGGAAACAAAGAAGACATAAGGGTATAAGAGAAACAAGAGGAAACAAGGATTGGCGAATTTGACACTCACAGGATATACTGAAGGCAAGAGGGATAGAAACAGTAACAAAACAACCAAGCAAGCTTGTGTAAATAAATAAGAGACCATCAAACATACATTGTAACGAACCACCTTCATCCCTTCGTATTCCCACGTACAGCTGCTTTGTGGACCCGATTCCCAAGAGGATGCTTTCCTGATCACTAGAATCTTAACCTGTTCAATTCTAGGGTTAACAGTTTTGTTCCCCTGATATCCACATAAACTGTGTGTCTTATGTAACCCTCTTCCTCGAATGTCGCTTGGGTTTGTACAGGGTAATTATCATTGTAAAAAAAGGACAGGTAATGGGAGGTTTGGCGAAAAAAAATTACAAATAATAGGAAGTTGTGGAGAGCCATAATTTGAATCTTCATCATTTCTCTCAGTATCCGAGTAGCTTCCAACAACATCGTGGTCTGAACCGTCTTGATTCCTCGTCAGATGTTTAATTCATCTTGTGTTGATTCCAATATTCACAGAGCTGTCACGAAAACGAAATGACAGCAAAAATATAACATTTTCAACAACTGTAATATTCCTCTATATATGAACGGCTTCGTTGTCTGAATCGAGTTTATTTTTCCTTGTACTTCTAATTGCAAAATAATCTCTTTACGAGTTTGTTGGGAACCGTTCATAGTCATCCAATAATTGCAGCCACGATCGTTATCGTCAATTTTGCAATTTTCAGGTAAAGATAACATATCTGAATTTTGTCCATTCGTTTTAATTTCACCCCATGCTCTCCTGGAACGGACACAACCCCTACTTATCACTTTCATCTCCGTATCGATAGCAACTAGTTCGGTTCTGTATAGAGAGATACGTTTTTATTCTGAAATCTAACAATATTATTAACTGTCAATTTATATTAACAAGACGGTATGATATTTAGACGTAGGTGTGGTTATTTTCAGCCACTTCAAGAAATATTGATATTTTAAAGGAAAGGCAGTTCCATTTTTATAGAAATAAATTATTTAATTCTATTGCATGATGAAAATTAATAAAGCAAAGCCGGTTTGTTTAATTCGTGTCTTGTATCTTAATTTCTGCAGATATTCATGTTCAGAAAAAAAAATACAATTGAAACGTCCATTTTATTTTAAAGGAATTGCCATGCTATGTGATAATGCATTGGATGCAAACATCGCAAAGAATCACTACAATAGGGAGAATTGGATCCTATCTGCCGTCCCATAACTATGGCTTTATGCCAAACTATTTTAACTGGACGAAGACATGATTGGTTTATGGGTTGATTTACTCATTAATCTCGCGTCCTATACTTAATCCGTATGTTAAGTCCACCTGTTCTAACCGTCACGGTTATGATCACCTATGCCAGGCGCATTGTAGCGAAGCACTTTATTCCCTTCGTCTTCCATTGGTGAGATGTAAATTCCACTCGAACAGCTTCTTCCCACGATCCCCTGCTTTGAATCTTAACTTGTTCAAGTTTCGGATTCAACTTTATCTTCTCCACGTATCCCCATAAACTGTGCCTCTTACTTAGTTACCCTCTACCTCAAGCGGCTCTTGGGTCTTTTACAGGGTGAAGATCATCGTAAAAAATACGCTTTTTGTCAAAAGAAATAACGATATTTACTGGATTATAAGAAATGTTTTTATTTTTAAGAGTTGCTGCTCACCGTAATTTACTGGCTCTCTTGGCTGAACAAGATTATTTTATGTTTACGGCGGATAAAAAAATATAATATATGGATTAGCGGCAAGTTCTTTTTTTAAATTCGGCAAAGATTTGGGCAAAGCAAAAATAAAAAAAAAATTCACATAAAGAAAGTAAAATAGCGTACTGGATAAACAGCAAGACCTCTGATCAGGAGGTTTTGAGGGGCGTGTAAACACCTCTTAATTGCTGGTGTTCCCAGGTCAACCCTGACACGGGGTAGTAGCACCTGTTTGGGTCCCAACTATGGGCAAATAGTTAACCCTCAATCTGGAGTGAAAACATTATGAAAGTGTAAAAATAGGTCTTAATATGAGCAATAAATATTTTGAGGAAAAATTATTAGTAGTAATACATTATTACCAAGAATACATTTTTGAAGAAAATAAATATTACCGCCAATACATTTTTGCTTCTTCCCACGAACCCCTGTTTTGAATCTTAACCTGCTCAAGTTTAGGATTCACTTTTATCTTCCCCAGGTATCCCCATAAAATGTGCTTCTTACTCAATTACCCTCCACCTCAAGCGGCTCTTGTGTCTTATACAGGGTGAAAACCATCGTAAAAAATGCACTTTTTGTCAAAAGAAATAACGATATTTACTGGATTATAAGATATGTTTTTATTTTTAGAGTTGCTGCTCACCGTAATTCACCGACTCTCTTGGCTGTACAAGCGAATTCGATGCTTACCGTGGATAAAAAATATAATACGAGGATGTTTGGAAGAGCGGCAACTTAAAACATTAACTTGGTTAAAGCAAAAATAAAAAAAAATCACATAAAGAAAGCAAAAAATTGAATTGATTACTATAGATGGTAAATAAAAATTGAAAATGACTTGCAATTTAAAATGAAAAAAAAAAAAGAAAACATTTTTAGTAGAATCGGATTGAGGGATTGATCCGTTTTTTATGATTTATCAACCATTTGCAGGTTATTTAAACCTAAAATCAAAAAAAAAAAAAATTATAAATTTGTTTTTACTAGAAAAACTCATTTTAAACTTTCATACTGTTTTGATCCCAGTTTGGGTGTTAGCAATTTCTCCATAGCTGGGACCCCAGCAGATGCTACCACCACGGGTCAGGGTGGACCTGGGAACAATATCAATTAAGAGGTGGTTCCACGCTCCTCAAAATTACCTGATCAGAGGCTTTGCTGCTGGATGTTATTTATCGTCATACCCAGGAGGCCCCATTACTTAAGGGGTGGGGAGGTCTTACCCCTATGCATAGGTGAAGTCGGAGTATTCTGAAGCGCAAACGACAGTGCTCTTCAGCATTCACTGTCATATAGCGTCCTGGATAAGACGATAGACTACGTCCAACAGCAAGGCCTCTGATCAGGAGGTTCTGAGAAGCGTGGAATCACCACTTCATTGCTGGTGTTCACAGCTCCACCCTGACACGTGGTAGTAGCACCTGTTAGGGTCCCAACTATGGGCAAATAGTTAACCCCCCAAGTTGGGGTGAAAACACCGTGAAAGTGTAAAAATAGATTTTAATACCAGAAATAAATTTTTGAAGAAAAAAATATTACCAGCAATACATTTTTGGAAAAAATATTATCAGCAATAAAAATCTTGTCGGCATTAAATAACCCTTGAGGTTGATATACTGTAAAACAAACCAAACCAAACCAAACGGAAACTTGATTTACAAAGTGATTTTGTTACCAAGGATAATTTTTATTCATATATATATATGTATGTATCTTTAATATATATATATATATATACATATATATATATATATATATATATATATAATTGTTGGGATTAAATAAGCCTTTGATATATATATATATATATATATATATATATATATATATATATATATATATATATATATATAAAAATGGTTGATATTAAATAACGCTTTGAGGTTGATATGCCATAAAACAAAACCGAATGCAAAATAATCCAGAAACCATCAATGATGACAAATAAAAATCGAATATGAATTGCAATTTCAAATTTAGATACAAAACATTTTTAATAGAGTAGCCTTGATTGATTGATCCGTTTTTATGGTTTATCAACCCTTTGCAGGTTATTTAAAGCCAAGACTATTTCTAGATTGTAAGAAATGTTTTCAAGTTTATTGATACAAGTCTTACCAATTAAACCATGACTGGGTAGAGAATAGGCTGATTCATACCTTTCCCAAGGGTATTTGCACGTAAGTGAATATAACGAACCCAACTGGAATTGGAACTCGGCTCTCCGATTAACAATACCGAGCCATTACCCATTACACCACCTGCACATCCAAACTCTCAGCACTTGGTATTCCCAAGCGGTCAACCATATAAGTAATGACCAGGCTAGACGTTGCTTAACTTCGGTGATCGTACAGGCACCGGTGTTTCAACGTGATGTGGGCATAATCATATTTTATTGGGTACACGTGTTTGAGCTGACGTCCTTGTTATTTGAAACTGTGAAATTAATGTCAACCAGCTTAGAGGTCGAGAAGTCTTACTAAATAAGTTTTCTATGTGTATATGTTCATTTAAATTTAAATCTATATAATTACAGACATGTGTGTGTGTTCCAACGTGATGTGGTACAGCAGGAGTTCATTCTATTGGCAGAACGTCTTATAGAAACTTAACAGTCCATTAAAAGACCTTTTTTTTTTGTATAAGGCCACCCAAACAAGGCACAAGAGATAATTATAATTAAAAATATGTCTTGTGTTATCAGGGCGATCAGATGCCAACGAAATTACGATATAATTAGAGATGTATATCTCAATGAAATATTTTTTTCATTCTTTGAAACGTAGAATTCAATTTTAATGCAAACATGTTTTCTCATTTTAAATTGACATTACTAAAATGGTGACAATATTTTTCTCGCTTTGCTTTTTTTTTTAAAACAGACAGACACACACACACAGACACACACGCACACCCGCTCTCTCTGTCTCTCTCTCTGTCTCTCTCTCTCTCTCATCCGCACACGCATATATATATTCTTCAAAATTTGTTATATTTATAGGAAACGAGTTCTCATTATCAAAGATACCGCTTTACAGATATGAACACTGTTGACATAGGTGCCTCGCAGATTCATGCTTTACTGCAATTTTCACATGTTGATCACAGTGAAGCAAGAAAGTGACAAACACGGTGTAGTGTTCACCCCTATGTTTATAATCTATCTATCTATCTATCTATCTATCTATCTATCTATCTATCTATCTATCTATCTCAGTCTGATATCTCTTTCTCTCTCTATTTCTGTCTATCTATCTCTGTTGATGTTTATGTCAGTCTGTTGATATCTATTTCAATCTATCTATCTATCTATCTATCTATCTATCTATCTATCTATCTCAGTCAGTCTGATATCTCTTTCTCTCTCTATTTCTGTCTATCTATCTCTGTTGATATTTATGTCAGTCTGTTGATATCTATCTATCTATCTATCTATCTATCTATCTATCTATCTATCTATCTATCTATCTCAGTCTGATGATATTTATTTCAGTCTGTTCATATCTATCAATCCATCTAATTCGATCTGTTCATATCTATTTGTCAATCTCAGTCTGTATATATCTTTCTCTCTATCAATGTTGAGACTTATCTATCTCAGTCTGTTGTTATCTATTTCAATCGGTTCATATCTATCTATCTATCTATCTATCTATCTATCTATCTATCTGATAATGATGATGATGATAGATGTGATTCGGTTTCGAGTAATGCCATAGCTTGATTTCTCCTCAGCCATGGGCAGCGCAGAATTGATATTTTAGTCCTGCTACGGACTTACATCCCCTTGCACTGGAGTGGCAACGTTGCAGTACGTGTTATGAGAATATTTTGATGAAATTTCATATGACGTTTTAGTTCAGCAACTGAGGTATATTTATTTCCGCATGCACCTTTTTTCATATTCTTTCACACTCAATAACCTCTTGCTTTATTGTCTTGCTTGCGTGTGTGCGGGGAATGATTGTAAAAAAAGCAGACAAAATGTTTAGTTTCTCAGAATAAATCTGTAAAGAAGACAACGTGAATAAAATAGTACTTAGTCCTGGCAGGCCCATTTCATCATTTGTCTTTATATATATATATATATATATATATATATATATATGTTGAGATGTTGTGAGTTTCCCGCGTGTCGGTCGGTGTATGAATCAAGACAAACACAGTTGTAGAGGAAAATACTGGTATATTCATAAAAGCAATTAACAATAGAGTGATTAGTAGAACGAAGGTTGGTTAGTACGAAACAATATCCAAAGTCTATAGTCCAACGGTATGTACCGGTAAGCTTTATCTGGACTGCTAAGATATTTAGCCCCCCCACGAGGGCGTCATGCGGCACAAGGCCTTTTTAATGTGGGCATTCCCGAGCCATTAGGCTCGGCCAAAAATAAACCCATTTGAACCCGTATAAACGGGTTCAGGGCCGGTTTAACCTCCCCGAAGGAGACTCCGCCCTTCGGCGTAGCCTCCTTCGGGTTCCTCTGTCCGGAGACAGAGAGTTGAACCGAGCAGTCGCTCAGAAAGTATCTGGGCTGCTAACTGCTGACTCTCTCCCCAGAGCTGACTTATATAAGAGGGACCAGTCCATTACTAGTTAGAAGGTGGGTGCGCCCCAACAATATATATATATGCGTGCGTGTATGTGCGTGTGTGTGTGTATGAGTGTTTGTGCGGGTATCTTTTGTTAAATTCAACCGACGATGTTCGTCTGTATAATATTCTTACGATGAGAGGAAAGTTGCGATACAAAACAACTAAAAATTAAGTCGTATGTAAATATGAGCGAAAATAAATAATTTTTTGACAGTGTTTCATCACATAAAAAGTCAAATTAAAAACAAATAATGCATCCAAAATGTTTCAGGAGATACAAAAAATATATGTACATCATGTACGTTACAAGATAAAGTGTTGGAAAGGTCATTTCCTGGTTGTGTGCCTAGAACAGGGATGTTTTCAGATAAGACTGGAGACATAGCGATAGCATCTGACCACTTAAGGCTAATTAACACTGATAGGATAACAGATAGGAGAACCCTATATCTATTTGGGCGGCATCCCAGCCCAGAAAAAGAGAATCTCTGGCAATTTTGAATCAATGCCGGAAAGCGACGCTATAGATTGCTCAACTTTAGTTTCCTTCTAACTGTGTTTTTTTCCTGAACCAACATTATTTGTTTTTAGAAATGTTTCTCGGATGGTACTGAGAATAAACAAGAATTATTGTATTTTTCTGCTTGCCTTGATATTCCTACTGAGACATATGTTCTAAATCATTCTAAATATGGTATCAAAGAAAATTGTTTGAACTCTCATAGAATAATTTGCTATAGGTTTACATACCATTGTGTCATTCAAGTAAAAAAAAATTCTAAACGAATCTGAATCACTCCTCAGATATTTTTCACCTGCCTGCTTATTCCAATCCGCCCGTTTATTAGATTTGAAACCAATTTGCAACCCCCACTGCTTATTCCAACTTCCTCTTTTATTTTTCTATTCAAGATCCGAGAGTAAGCCACCCAACTTCCCAAAATATCCAGAATAGACTCAATAGTTGATCACATTATAGATTGGCGCTTCATAATCCCAAAGAACTGTACTACATAATACAAACCACGTCACTTGAGGACTACTAACAGCAGTAACAACTAAAATGTAACTCGAAGAGAAAATAATGACATAATAAAGATGTTGATGTTCCACACTACTTCAAACAAAAGGGTAGGAAGGAAACCGCCATCAATACTGGAAGCGTTGAAGATGGTGATTTTCTAAGCTATTTCAAACAAAAGTTTAGGAAGCCACCAAAACTTGAAACAGTGATAACATTTACTGAACTCAAGAAAACTATTTTCCCAAAGAAAATTGTTGTAATAGAAATATTTTTTTTATAAATTTCAACGTGCACTAACAGTTTTTGTTAATGAATGATGAATGTTTCTTCATAAGTAAACCGCTGTTCTCACAATTGCCGCTATCATTTGTGAGGATGAAAATATTGCAAAAATCTCCAAGTCTTCACAGAGATTGGTTCATCTGAATTTAATTACGTTAATGTGATTGCAGAATTTCGGTGACATCACTGAAACTGGACACAATCTGTTCATTTTCTAAATATAATTCAGCCACAATAAAGACATTTGTAAAGAATCCAGGATGAGATTTAAATAACGGTAAAGAATTTTAGAATAAACCAGAACCTCCTGCATACGGATAGAAAATGAATTCAGTAAATGCACAAACATAGAAAGGGGCGTAAGCCAGAGATGTATCCGTCCTGTGTATGACGTTAAACTACATCCACGTCCTGGGTAAGACGATAAACTATGTCCAGCAGCAAGGACTCTGATCAAGAGATTTTGAGGAGCGTAGAACCACCTCTTAATTGCTGGTGTTCCGAGGTACACACTGACCTGGGGTGGTAGCATCTGTTAGGGTCCCAGTTAATGGTCAAATAGTTAACTCCCCTAACTGAGGTCAAAACACTATGAAAGTGTAAAAGTATGTTTTATTACCAGTAATACATTAGTACTAGCAATACATTTTTGAAAAAAAAATATTACCAGCAATACATTTTTGAAAAACAAAATATTACCAGCAATACATTTTTGAAAAATAAGTATTACAATTTTTGAAAAAATATATTACCCGCAATACATTTTTGTAAAACAAAATATTACCAGCAATGCATTTTTGAAAAATATATTACCAACAATATATTTCTGAAAAAAGATTACCAGCAATACATTTTTGAAAAACAAAATATTACCAGCAATACATTTTTTAACAAAAGATATTACCAGCAATAGATTTTTGAAAAACAAAATATTACCGGCAATGCATATTTGAAAAAAAATATTACGAGCAATAGATTTTTGAAACATAAAATATTTCTAGCGATACATTTCTGATGAAAAATATTACCAGATGTAGATTTTTGAAGGAAAAATATATTATCAGCAATACATTTTTGAAAAAAAATATTACCACTAATACATTTTTGAAAAACAAAATATTACCAGCGATACATTTTAAAAGAAAAATATTACCAGCAATACATTTAAAAAAAAAAAAAAATATTACCAGCAATACACTTTTGAAAAAAATATTACCAGTAATACATTTTTGAAAAACAAAATATTACCAGCAATAGATTTTTGAAAAACAAAATATTACCGGCAATGCATTTAAAAAAAAAAAAATATTACCAGCAATAGATTTTTGAAACATAAAATATTTCCAGCGATACATTTCTGATGAAAAATATTACCAGAAGTAGATTTTTGAAGGAAAAATATATTATCAGCAATAAAAAGTTTTTTTAAAAAAAAACATTACCAGCAATAAAAATTTTGTCGGCATTATATAACCCATAGAGGTTGATACACCGTAAACCAAACCAAACCAAACAAAAGATGTATCTTCTCACAAATGAGACAATCCTGAGAGAATTAGAAGGCTTAACAAGATTCATTATCAATGGCCACAATCCTAACAACATTAGATATGCAGAGGAAACAGAATTAGTAGAAGTCACAGAAAGGAGACTACAGAAACTCTTATAGAAGGTAGTAATGGTAAGCGAAAAGAAAGAACTAAAGATCAATTGGAATAAGACAGAATGTATAGCGTCAGCAGTAGGAACACTTTAACATACAAATTACAAATTTTAGACAACAAAATCAAGCAAGTACAAAAATTTCAATATCTAGGAAGTGTTTTAACAGACGAGAAAAAATGCGACACTAAAATCTGATGACTAAGTAAACTATTAAGAAGCAGGAAAATTTTGTTAGAAAGGAAGGAATATTGAACTGTCATATAATATCTGTTCTCTTATATCGCAGTGAATGTTGGGAAATCTCATCACAGATGAAGAAGAGGCTCGAGGCAATGAAATGCGATTCTACTGAAGGATGCCGAGAATACCGTGGACTGAATATATGAACAACAAAGAAGTTTTAAAGAAAATGTAAACAAAAAGGACATTTCTTTTAATATCCACTAATTGTCCTTTTCAGGGTCCGAGAGAAGGCATGTAACATATTTTTATACTTTGTTCTTTTTCTAGAAACGAAAAACTTAATTTAATTTTTTTCGATTTTTATTTTTTTATTATAAATATTTGGGTAATTATTTTTTTTCTGAAAGCAACTACAACCCAAAGCCTCACAAAATATCTTGGGTGACCCCAAATACTTCACAAGCAGCAAATTGTGAGAAATTTAAAATATGTTAACATTTTTACCGTTTATTGGCCAACAAAATTTGGTCAAGCAGGTCACGAACATAACCGCGGTAATTTAAGCGATGTTTTCGATATTAACCGCGGTATTTTAAAACGAATTGCTTGTTGCTTTTCAGAATATTCCTTGACGAACAGGATATCTGAAAAATCAGCATATGAACCTCACCTAATGTTTAAATCGTGATACTTGATATCATAGTCGGCTTGTTTTAAAAATCATAGCAAATTTGTTGAAAAAAGAGCCGAGGATATTCAATTTTTGTTTCATGTACCGTGTCCCTTCAGATGGGCGATCATGGCTCTCCAAAGCTTCCTATCTTTTGTTGCTCTAAGTGACTTTTGACTCGTCACCATCTTTCTTTGCCTTTGTTCTTGTTGCAGTTTTTTGTGAATATATGTACTAGTGAGCTAGCCCAAATCACTTGACTCACTTTATAGTCCACCAATAGAAGGTTAACCAATCAGAAGACGTAGAATATTCAATCCGTCGTGTATAAAGGCGGCCATTTTGTTTACTCTATCCGAATGTCCAGTACCAGCTTGTCAGGCGAAGAGGAATAGAAGGAAGAACTACGCTCTGCTACTTTACCGGGATATACACTGCTAACCCGCACAACGCTTCCCTACTGTCTTCGAAATATTCACTGCTAACCTCTGGATTCTATACTCGAAGACGACCGTCATCATGAACAACAGTTCTTCCATCCATTCGCACAAACTCGCTGAGTAGTTTGTCCGCTATTCCTTCGTCCCGCATCTCTTGCTTTAAAAACATCCTGTGAGTGTTAAATTCTCTAAGCTCTCTTTCCTCGTTATTTTTTTAATAAAATGTCAGACCTCAGTAGAGGTGAGGAAGTCGTAATATGGTCTCAGATACGGCATTGAAAGTGAAACCAAAGAATTTTTCATCGAATTTTATACAACTTCTTTTACTTGAAGAAGTCTCCCTTATGAGTAAAAAAATGTACTCGGAAAACTTGAGCTAGAAATGACAAAGGTTATTAGATATTGCTTCAATGGCGTAGAAGATATGACTAACATCCATAGCGGAATGTGATGGTAGCGTAATGGATAGCATAGTGGAAAGTGAAATCGGCGTGCCGAGTTCAAATGACCGGTCTGGTTTTAGCATAACTAACCAATTTAAAAAAAATATATTTTTCTAAATTTACTCACATTTATCTGATAAATATACCGCGTGCATTTCTACTTATAATATTAGTTTTTATTAGGAATATCTTCTGTTAATCTATTTGACGGTGTAAGATTTTATTATGCAACTCGGGAGATTATCATCAAATTGTAAATATACAAGAGAGTAACTAAAGGGAAATAACTGAAATTGAAACTGAAATATCTGGAAGAGGCACGGCACATGGAACTAGAAAAATCTACCCCGGTGGGACGAAATAAAGGGTTCGATTCGCAATTCCAATTACCTGAAGAAAGCTGAAGCGTACAACGGCCGAAACGACGTGAATATGACCACAAAGATGAGGACAACAGTCCGAACAGCGTAAATAGTGTAAATAGTTACAATACAACTCAGAAATATAGACAGACACAATAGTCAATAGTATATCCATTGATATTTAGTTTTAGTTTCAGATATATAGACATTGTCATGGGTCATAAGAAAGATATGTTCTCAAAAGAGAAACAAAATATTGTAAAGTGATGAAAACACAATGCTGGAGAATGCGAAAACGGTGACCAGAGATTACAAGACAGTGCAAAAAAAAAGTGAAAATATCGGTGGGGGTGGTAGTAGTAGTAGTAGTAGTAGTAGTAGTAGTAGTAATAATAATAATAAGAAGAAAGTGGATTTTAAGAATGCGTTAAAAATAGATCTGAGAAAAAAAATTAAAAGATTTTTTTTCAATCATTTCATCCGATATTGTTATTAAGACGCAAGGTCTTACTGGGTGTAAAACCCAAATGTTAAACTGTGAAAATGAAAGGAAATTCAGTGAAAGGAAATGAGAAGACTTTAGGCGACAGAACTGAAAACCTAATCCTAAACAGGAAACAAGGGATAAACCTCTACTACTGTTTAAAAGACAGGGAAAGAGTGTGAACGAATCGTTAAGCGAAATTAGCAAGAAAAGTAGATTTACGAAAAAAAAATATTTGAAGCTGCAGTTGTAAATTTAAGCAGTAAGAAAATATACAGAATCTGAAAAATATTGTTGAAAGACATGAAAGCAACCAAACTGCTGTTACGGTTTTTTGGGTATATATACTTATAACTAGGGTATTTATTCGT